TGCTGGACGCTGCAGGGCGGGGTGGCGCCACAATAGCTCCTGAGCGGGCATGGTGCCTGAAGCCTGGCCCAGGCCCCAGGGTCGCAGCCTCCCCCCACGGCTTCTGCAGGGCTGGACTGCCACTCCTCCCGCTAAAGAAGAAGGCACAGGTAAAGAAGAACACGGAGGTGGCCAGCATGAGCGTGCAGCTTGAGATGAAGGCTCTGTGGAATGAATTTTATCAGCTGGGCATGAGGATGATCATCACTAAGGCAGGTCAGGGCTCCCCTCTCCCCGCTGCAACCCTCCCCACATGGCACCAGTCTCGGGCAGAAGGCTTTGGCCCAGTCCACCTGAGTGAGACTGAGAAGCGGGATGGGGGACAGCCTGGCCACCTGTGGGTCCTTCTCGGCAGGGGCCAGCTCCTTCGCTCTCCGAGTCCTGGCTCTAGGACAGCCACCTGGCGCTCCAGGCTGAAGGGCACTGCTCGGGAGGCCAGGAAGGCAGCGGAGAGAAACCCTGTGGTCCTGCCGCCCGACCAGCAGCCCAAGACCCAGCACCACCAGAAATAGACCAGCTCAGAGTACACTGAGCTTGGGGGGAAGGCAGCTGCAGGTGAGGCACCTTGCCACCAGCCGGCTCCCAGTGGATCCCACCTCAAAGAAAACTCAGTCTTTGGTTCCTTAGTTCAGTCTCTCCCAGCTAAAGAGGAGCAGCTGGGCACATTTTAGGGGAGAATTAAGACTGAAACAGTGTGTTCTGTTCTGTGGAGATTGCTACGGAGTTGTCTTAGGCCTAAATTCCTGGTGATTGTGGGGCCTGGCTCTGCCACTGGGGCCCGCATTTTCCAATTGGCCTGTATTTGTTGTAAGGGCCCAAAGAGAAGAAGGGGAACACATTTTTCAATGCAATGGATTTGACCAACAGACAAAGGCGAGTGCTGGGCTGTGTCTAATGTACACACAGAGACACCAGCTCTGAGTCCGCCTGGCCAAAGGGAGCTCAGGGCCTGTTTGCAGAGCCTTCTGGTGGTTTCTGTTTCCTTGCTGAGGCCATCCTCCCTGGGAAGCCTGGGCCCATGCTCAGCTCCAGCTCAGTGGGTCTTCTCCAGGCCCTCCCACAGGCCAGCCCCACCCCTGATTGGCCCCCCAACCCCAATCAGGGGCAGGACCAGCTGCCAACCTCCTGTGGTCCCTCCCCACCGGCCGGCCCGGCCCATCGGGTTGATGGGGGCAGGCCGGACCCCACCCATGCACGAATTTGTGCACTGGGCCTCTAGTTGATAGATAATTGACAAAAACTTTCAACAAGGTAAACACTAAGTAGACAAAAAATATTTAGAGAAATTAAGGATTGTGAACAAAACTAAAGATAATCCTATATAATAAAGAGCTAATATGTAAATGGTCATCACACCCTCACACCATCACACAGTATCAGCTCAGACACTCAACACTGGGGAGAGAGGAATGGGGACCAGCCAGGCAAAAATGAGCTTGTGAGAGAGGAATGGGGACCAGCTGCGGCCCGGGAGAGGGACAAGCCGCCCGCCCTGCAGTCCCAGGTGCTAGCAGCTGGGGCTGTGGCCCAGGAGAGGGACAAGCCACCTGCCCCACAGTCCTGGGCACCAGCGGCTGGGGCTGCAGCCCAGGAGAGGGACAAGCCGCCTGCCCCACGGTCCCGGGCACCAGCAGCTGTGGACTGGGCGAAGCCGCCCGCCCACGGTCCCCTGCAGCTGCGGCCAGCCCGGACGAAGCTGGCCCGGGGCCTGGGTGCCTGTGGTGAGTTAGAGGAGGGAATCCTGGGTGCAGGGTGAGGCAGGAGCAGTTAGAGGAGATCATGCTGGTAGGGAAGCAGTTAGGGGAGATCAGGCAGGCAGGCAGAGGTGGTTAGGGGTGATCAGGCAGGCAGAGGGGTTAGGGGTGATCAGGCAGGCAGAGGGGTGAGAAGCCAGCAGTCCCAGATTGTGAGAGGCAGTCAGACATCCCCCGAGTGGTCCCGGATTGGAGAGGGTGCAGGCTGGGCTGAGGGACCACCCCCCCTCCCCTGCACGAATTTCGTGCACCGTGCCTCGAGTTTAAAATAAAAAAGCTTCTGCACAGCAAAAGAAACTGACAGCAAAATAAAAAGGTAATCAACCTAATAGGAGAAGATATTTGCAAACACCACCTCTAATAAGGGGTTAGTACCCAAAATATATAAAGAACTCATACAACTCAACAATAAAACAAACAATCCAATTTAAAAATAGGCAGGGGACTTCAACAGACATTTCTCCCAAGAAGACATACAAATGGCCAACAGATATGTGAAAACATGCTCAACTTCACCAATTATTAGTAAAATGCAAATCAAAACTACAATGAGACCTCACACCTGTTATAATGGCTATTAAAAAGTCAAGTAATAACATATATTGGAGATGTTATAGAGAAAAAGAAACCCTCATTCACTGCTGGTGGAAATGTAAACTGGTAAAACCACTATGGAAAACAGTATGAAGGTCCCTAAAAAAATTAAAAATAGAGTTATCATATAACCCAGAAACCCCTCTTTTGAGTGTCTACCCACAAAATTTGAAAACCTTTATATATAAAGTTATATGCACTCCTATTGTTGGGGTCCAGCCCCAGCAGGTCCATGGGTTCCCAAAGGTGTGGACGGAGTCGGCAAGGAAGGAATTACACGGAGACAGCGTTCAGTTGATCAGCATAGCCAGGTTCTCCAGTCAGGTTTCTATCTTTATTCTCCTGTTACATCTGTATTTATACCATTTGATTTTAAGCCTATCCATTCTATTCCAAAGGTTAGGGCTAGTTTGTTATCTCCATTCCAAGGTCACTACTCTACTGTTCTGTTAAGCTACAAGGAAGTAACTGAAGGAGATTATCCTAAGTAAAGATTATGTAACCTAAGTGTGATTGTTCGTAGTTAAGGTGATTAGTTAAGGAGTTTTACTGATTTATTCCCTTCCTTAGTCCTGTTAATCCCTAACTCCAGGGGAAAATCCCCACCTGGGGAAACAACCTTTCTCAGAGAGGTGACCCTGGTTAGAACACATAGCTCTAAGAAGGGGAGCAAACATATTAAGAACAGTATGCCATATACGCCAGGTCCCTTGAAACATATGCTGTGCGGATGTTTCTTCCCTGCAGCGACTGTGTCAAGCAGCAAGGATGGACCGGCTTCCGGCATCCTATGTTCATTGCAGCATTATTCATGGTGGCCAAGACATGGAAACAACTGAAGTATCCCTCAATAAATGACTGGATAAAGTAGAAGTGGTACATATATACAATGGAATACTATTCACCCAAAAGAAAAAATGAAATACTGACATTTGCGACAACATAAATAGATCTTGAGAATATCATGCTAAGTGAAATAAATCAGATGGGCAAAATCAATAATCGTATGATTTCAATTATATGTGGGGTATAAACTGAAAACAACAAATGAAAAAGCAAGACAAACAAAAACTCACAGATACAGATAATAGTATGGTGATTACCAGAGGGTAAGGGGAATGGGGAAGATGTAGTAAAAGGTGTCAAATATAAGGTGACAGAAAGAGACTTGACTTTGGGTGGTGAACACAATACAATACACAGATAATGCATTACAGAATTGTACACTTGAAACCTATATAATTTTATTAATAAGTGTCACCCCAATAAATTTAATTTAAAAAAAAGAAACCAAAGACATTCTACTAGGCAACCAGGAACATCTTGATTTTAAAAACACAGAACCAACCAGTCAAACCACCTGGGTTCAAAGCCAGCTCCACCACTTAACTGGTTGTGTAACCTCAGTCACAGAAGTACGTTGTTCTTCTAAGCCCAACAATGGGGATAAAGATTAGTGTAGCTCTATTACGGTTCCTGGAAGAACCAAACAAGGTATTCAGAACTTTGAAAAGTACAGGGCACATAGCAAAGAATCAATAAGTAGGGTTTTTGGTTTGTTTGGATGTTGGGAGATTTGTTTTGCTTTAATTATTCTTAGAAAGACTCTATAGCAGTGATGGCAAACCTATGACACGCGTGTCAGAGGTGACATGCAAACTCATTTTTTTTGGTTGATTTTCTTTGTTAAATGGCATTTAAATATATAAAATAAATATCAAAAATATAAGTCTTTGTTTTACTATGGTTGAAAATATCAAAAAATTTCTATATGTGACACGGCACCAGAGTTAAGTTAGGGTTTTTCAAAATGCTGACACGCCGAGCTCAAAAGGTTCGCCATCACTGCTCTATAGTGTATCATGGAAAAAGGAACAGACACAAAAAGTCATTACAACTAATAGTTTGACAGAAAAGTTTTTAAAATTAAATAGAAAGTAGGAAAGTAAAAGTTGAGGATCTTTTAAAAAGCAAAAGCAGAAGAAAAAAATAGACTACTAATCCAGAAAGACCAATATAAACCTAAAAGAACTTCCAGAAAGATGGAAAAGAGCTAAAGGAAGGAAATTAACAAAGAAATAACAGTGGAAGAACACAAGTCTCCAAACTGAAAAGGCCCACTGAACCCAACCAAGTACTACAGTGCGAATGAAGAACCCCGGACACTAACGCATATTGTTTAATATCTGCCCAGCCCACGCATACCTAGTCAATTCTTAAGCAGCCTTCAGATCTCATTTAACTAGCTCAGTAGTTACTTCTTTACAAAACATTCCCAGAATGTGAGCCAACCCCTCCATTATATGGTCCAAATATCAGAAACTTGTCTGTATCTGTATCTCAGTTATAATTTTACACTTATTTACGTGATTATTTTAGTACTGTTCAAGAATCATGTGGCAAAAACCACCATGCCTGTTATTGACCATCATATCACCATCACCTAATATAATGTACAACAAGCATTTACGTACTTTTTTATACAAATGAGCCATATAATAAAAATTCCTGATTCCTTGGAAACACAATACATTATTAATCATAAATACCTCTACCACAAAGTATTTGGCTCTTTACAGGACATAAGGGAATTTTACAAGTTTTTCGTATTACCTTGGCCTGAATTTGCTTCTTTTTGTTTTTCATCCATAATGACATAACTGACAAGTTCCTTGAACTAATTCTCAGATTTCATAAAGGAATGAGCACCATCTAGTGGAAAATTTAAAAGTAATGAGGCAATAATCTAAATTTACTAGGCATACAATGGTGACCTATCAAATATTTATTTAAATTAAAAACCAAGATGTGCATCAACTTTGTCAAGTAATGAAATCAAATTTTATCATCTGTATAATTTATAACATACCAATTTAAATAAAATCTATATATTAAAATGTTTAAAACTGGCAGTTAACACCATTTAATTGAGCTTTTAATGAAATGAAACAGAATTGGAAATGAAAGAAAAAAATAATTATAAGCTGCTATACTCCCAAAGCGCAAGAGAAAAGTTATATTGAAAACACTAATTGCATATGAAATATACAGTTTGATATGTTAAAGGAAATTTTTTAAATTAGGGAAGTTCTTTATCAGAAGATAGCACATGTATGTGTTATACTTTGATATTGAAAGCCATTGCTTGTTAGGCCAAAGTAATCTCATGAAATTTAGTAAGAAAAAGGAATATAATATGTTATATAGTTGTCTTCCACTTTATTAGTGAAGAGAGAAAACATTAAGTTAGAGAAGGTAGGATCCAGAATGGCACACTCTACTGCTATTATATTACACAGGAAAAATCACATGAAATACTAAAACTTTACAATAAATATCACCTATTCTTAAGCCTTGCCATAGCAGTTAGGTGGATGGTGCATGTCTATCAAAAAAGAAAATATAAAAATTACAAAATTTTCTCAACAAATATTACATTTTTACAGTGCAACTGTCAGATCAATAGCAACCACTTAGAAATAACTAAATTCCGGTATATGCAAAAAATTAAACTACACCACCAACTTATACCATACACAAGAATAAATTCAAAATGGACAAAGAACTTAAATGTAAGTGGTGAAATTATAAAATTCCTAGAAAAAACACAGGCACTAAAATCTCAGACACCTCTCCTAGTAATATTTTTTGCCAATATATATCACAGGGCAAGGGCAACAAAGAAAAAAATGGGACTACAATAAATTAAAATGCTTCTGCACAGCAAAAGAAACCATCAACGAAATGAAAAGGGAACCCACTGTATGAGAGAACATATTTGATATCAGCTAAGGAGTTAATTTCCAAAATATATAAAGAGTGTGTACTACTCAACACCAGGAAGACAAACTATTCAATTAAAAAACTGGCAAAACACCTGAATAGACACTTGACCAAAGAGGACATACAGATGGCTGATAGACATATGAAAAGAAGCTAAACATCACTAATCATCAGAGAGATGCAAATTAAAACCACAAAGAGATATCACCACATACCTGCCAGAATGGCTACCATCAATAAATCGACAAACGACAAGTGTTGGCGAGGATGTGAGGAAAAGGGAACCCTAGTACACTGTTTGTGGGAATGCAGACTGGTGCAGCCACTGTGAAAACCGGTATGGAGTTTCCTCAACAAATTAAAAATGGAACCCCTTTTGACCCAGTGATTCCACTTCTGGGAATATATCCTAGGAATCCCCAAGTACCAATCAGAAAGAATATATGCACCCCTATGTTCACAGCAGCATTATTTACAATAGCTAAGATCTGGAAAGAGTCCAAGTGCCCATCAATAGATGAGTGGATAGTAAAGCTGTGGTACATTTATATAATGGAATACTACACAGCCATAAAAAGAAGGAACTCTGCCTTGGCTGGTGTGGCTCAGTTGGTTGAGCATTGTCCCATGCACTAGGTGGTAACAGGTTCAATTTCCAGTCAGGACACATGTCCAGGTTGCAGTCCCAATCCCCAGTAGGGGGCATGCAGGAGGCAGCCAATCCATGTTTCTATCTCCCCCTCCCCCACATCCTGCCTCTCACTCTAAAATCAATAAAAACATATTTTTTTAAAAAAGAAAGAAGGAACTCTTACATTTTGTGACAGCATGGAAGGACCTGGAGATTATTATGCTAAGTGAAATAAGCCAGTCAGTGAAAGACAAATACCATATGATCTCACTTATATGTGGAATCTAATGAATAAAAAAAACTGACGAACAAAATAGAAAGAGGCATGAATACATAGAACAGACTGACAGCTGTCAGAGGGGAGAGATATGGGGAGACTGCATAAAAGAAGGTGAAGGGATTAGCCAAAGAACATATATGCAAGACAAATCGTCACAGACAATAGTGTGGTGATGGCCAGAAGGAAGGGAGGATGGGGGCTGGGTAGAGGTGGGCATGGGGACATCTGTAATAAAGTAAAAAAAAATAATAATAATAACTAACTTCATAGAATTCTAATAATTGCATTTATTTTAACTTCTGTATCACTGAACACTATTTGAAAAATAGAATTGAAATGTAACATAGTGGAGGTTCTTATTAGAATTATATAGATTAAACTTAAACAACTGTTTGGTAATAAAAGACCTCCAAATCTTAATGGCTTCTAACAATGAAGGTTTATTTTCTATAGTCACTACATATCCTCTGGGAACTCTGCTACACATCTTCACTGCCAGACCCAGGTGGAGAGAGCTTCCACCATCTGGAACATCACTATCACCACTGGGTGGGGATGGAGTGGTAAAGAGATGAGGCCAACTGGCTGCCTTGCAGTGACACACACATCACTTCCATTCACATCTTCTTGTTTTGCTAATTCTTATCTTAGGTTATTTTTTCCCATTGCTTTTTAAGAATATGTTTATTGATTTGAGAGAGAGAGAAAGAGAGAGATAATAATATTGATTGGTTACCTCCCATATGTGCCCTGACTAGAGATTGAACCCACAGTCTAGGTATGTGCCCTGACAGGGAATCAAACCCACAACCCTTTGGTATAAGGATGACACCCCAACCAACTGAGCCACCAGGCCAGGGCCCCATTGCTTTTTAAAGAGAGTGGAAGGGAGCAAGGGAGAGGGAGAGAGAGAAAGAGAAAGTGAGAGAAAGAGAGAGAAACATCAATGTAAGAGATACATCAATTGGTTGCCTTCTGCAGGAGCCCTGACTGGAGCTAGGGTCAAACCTGCAACCCAGGTACATGTCTGACTGGAAAGAAAAACCTTCAACCCTTCGGTTCATGGGCCAACACTTTAGCCACTGAACCACACCAGCCTGGGCCCATTCACATTTTTTTGATCACCATAACTACCTTAAGGTAAAAACCATAACATAATGTAACCTTACATGTGCCTTTACAGCATTACCTAAGCAAGATAGGTGGCAGGCAGAATAAAACAATATCTACTTTTTTCAGAGTGAATCATTTGAAATTAATCAATTTTACATTTATACAATTTTAGATTTTTTATAATAAACTTGCATTAATGTCTTGGTTCACAGAATTACAGTGAAGTATTTTAAATAACATTTTAGAACTTTTAAAAGAAGTTAAGTTGGCCTGGTTGGCTTGGTTCAGTGGTTGAGTGTAGACCTATAAACCAGGAAGTCATGGTTAGACTCTGGTCAGGGCATATTCCCAAGTTGCATGCTCAATCCCCAGTGTGGGGCATGCAGGAGGAAGCCAATCAATGATTCTCTCTCATCATTGATGTTTCTATCTCTCTCTCCCTCTCTCTTCCTCTCTGAAATCAACAAAATATACATATTTTTAAAAGTACTTAATTTGAAAATGTTAGATTTTCTAAATATTTCATATGAAAATGGAAAAAATTATAAAACCAATTTAATTCAGTTTTTCCCTTTGAGAGGGCATTATTTCAAAATCACGACCACCACAAGACAACCCTTAATCCCACTATCTTTACTGACAATATAAAATATTAGCAATAACTTTGATTTTAAAACAGGTGAATAAAAAAATCTTTATTGTCATCTATATGTAATAAAGATGATGCAACTTATGTAATAACTTCAGTTAACTGAAACTGATTTTAAAATAATTTATAAATAACCTTAATATTTCAACAGGCAAATCCAATGGGATGTGAGCACCAATTACTATGCCCACAGCAGGCACTCAAATATTTGTGAAATGAATGGAAAACAAACTGGGCAAACACAGCCTGGAAAAGAAGGTGTTTCTGTCTCCTTTAATAGCAATCTCCCTTGAACACCTACTACTAGTATACTTCTAGGCAATGTGGAATAACAGGGCTAAGTTATACACAGATCCTACCCAAAAAGAACTGTACTCAATGAACAACTATACCCATAATTACACTAGGTTCTAAAAATACGTTATATAGATATTACAACCAAATGGGAACATTAAATCAGTACACACAGTCCCAGAGAACCCTTCTAGAGCCAGCATATAAAAACACCAGACCACACACGCAGCTAAGGACTACACACATCTCAACTCTAAAACACGCTCTCCTTAAGACCCACTGAGCTAAGGACTGTGCATTGGATCGAGGGTCTGTAAAAATGCTTGCATCTTCTGCATTTAAGACAGAGATTCTACACTGCTAACAAACCTACTTTAGAGGGCAGATTGGCCCCTCCTGCTTGCAGTCAAGTCCTGTGGAGACAGACACAAACTGGATCTCTTGGAGCTTCAAGCAGGTTGCTGAAAGCCAAAGGAAGACAGTTTCTGATGGTGGTTAGCACCTAAGTACCTCACGGAAGCCCAGAATTGGCAGATAGAACAGTCAGCCAGTCATCAGAAGAGTAGGACTCAAAGTGAGCTCCCATGGGGCATTACACTCAGCTGAAAGGAATGCCAATTCACCTTTTTTATCTTCCTCTTTTTTTTTCTTTTCTTTTTGTTCTTTTCTTTTCCTTTTTTTATTTTCTCACTTTCCTTTCCTTTTTCCTTTTTTATTTATATTCTTTACCTATCTGCTTTATTGAGTTATTATTCCAGTTTCTATTATTTCATTCATATACTTAATTTTCCTCTTCCCTTTTCCTACACAATATTTTTTTTTCCCTTTCTCTCTTTTCCTCTTCCCCTCTTATATCATCTTATTTCCTTTTTCTTATCTTGGGTCTATCTACTTTCTCCTGTATTTTCCTTTACAAAACTTTTTTTAAACTTTTCTTTCCTTCTTCCTTTATTTTAAACCATTTTACTTCCCCTATCCCCCTAATTCTTTATTCATATTTTCTTTATTTCAGTTCTGGATCTACATATTCTTTTTTCTTCTCTCTACCCCAGTGTTTTGTTTGTTTGTTTGTTTGTGGGGGTTTTGGGGTTTTTTTTTGGTTTTTGGTCTTTTTTGTTTTATTTTTTGTTTGCATGGGGTCTTTTGTTTGGTTGGTTGTTTTGTTATTTTTCTCCTCGTGTTTTTTTCTTCCTTTCTTTTCTTCTATCATTCTTGCTCTCATTTCACTTTCCTAATTCTCTTTTCTCTGGTGGTTGCTTTTGCTGGTGCTACAGAGGACTTGTCTATGTTCTTCTTTTGTTTCTTCTGTTTCGTGGTTTTTCTTTTTGCATTTTGTCCTGTTCTGTCAGCACCTCCACAGCAGCTCACTTGACATGATCAGGGATGAGCCACATAGTCATCCCATCTAAGAGGAGATTCCATCCATGAATGGGATAATACATTCAAGACCCAACTATAACAGGGGAACCCAAATAACTCAAGCAAGAGACTTTCCTAGAGCAACCAGCTCAGGAGATCTAAGAGACTGCACCACTGGGTCCCACAAAACACCTACTACATAAGACCACCCCAAAAAATCTGGGAGGCATAGTAGTTTGACCTAATACA